TTTGACTTAACGATTGGAAATGAGTATGCCGGTTTTTGGAATTTGTTCATGACAGAATATTTTATTTACGGGTGGTGACCAGTGACCACTATTAGTGTAGAGCGCCCTCTTGTGAAAGAAAATGCTAGATGGCAATAGTATCTGGGCAATTTCCTTATTGCGGGAAAATATTTGGTTGTATCAAATTTGTTTATCTGACTTATTTCGGACATCACGACCGATTGACAAACAAAATCTGAAGTCAATAAAACAGGTATTTTTTAGGATTATCGTCTGGAAAACGAGTATGTAGTTTTTATTCAATTAATAAAATTGACTTCAAAGTTCAATAGATATTCTTTTTCGTGCTAAACAAACTTAATTCTTTTGATTATATTATTTCCATTGTTTGACCACTCCTACTAATATTGAATGTACTTGTGTTATATATCACTACTTATCACTGCACAAAGTTTTAAGGCAAGAAAACAAGTTTTTCTGGAGTTGCTGTCTGGAAACGAATAACGATAGTCCACGTCTACACGCTATCTTTAAAATTAATTGGAGTATCGAATTGAATTGTGGACAGATGATTGGTCATGAAAAGAAGACAAACTAGACCGAAGATTTAAACGAAATATTGTTTTTGTCTCCCTAAACTGTGTCTTGTGTCGCGACACGGAGAACAACGTGGCGATGGGCTGCAGTGGCTGTCCAAACAGAACATTTGCCTCACTTTTTTTGCACAGGAACGATAGTCCACGACGACATGCTATCTCAAAAATTAATTGGAGCATTAAAGTGAATTGTGGCCAGATGATTGGACATGAAAAGAAGACAACATAGACAGAAGATTGAGACAAAATATTTCCTTTCTCTTCCTCAACACTATATTGGTAACAAAAACAACACATTCGTTTGGTGGACAGCATAAACTCAAGAAATAAATCACTCATTGCATCGATTTTTTTCTAAATGTTTAAACTATAACGAACAATTACCAGACAAAATTTCAATTCAATAGGCCATTTCTTTTTTGAGTTATGTTCTCCACAAACAGAATGTGTTGGTTTTTGTTCCATGAAAGTTGACTTTTGAACAGATTGTATTTGTCGTGCTTATCACACTCCATTCTGTTTTGTTATATTATTTGTATTGATTGACAATTTCAATCTATAAACAAAAGAGTTGGGTAACATATTGTTACAAATCACAAGACAAAATTTGAAGTTACATTTCATTTCTTGAACCATCGTCTGGAAACGAGTGTATTATGTTTTTTTTTTAATTTTTATTATGACACAAAATTCTATGTTCACAATTAGCTTTTACGGTGCGCGGTGACCACTATTAGAGTAGCGCGCCCTCTTTTGAAAGAACATGCCAGTTTGCAAAAGTGTCTGGGCGATGTCTAATACAAAACAGCGGGAAATATTGAGTTATATCAAAGGGTTTGGTTAATATTTGATTCTGAAAATTGATAGACATATTTCAGACATCAGGATTGATTGACGGACAGTTTTGAGTCAATACAAGAGGGATTGTTTTAGGGTTGTCGTCTGGAAAACGAGTGTGTTATTTTTATTACATTTAAGTTGACTAAAATTGAATCCAAACGTACAAGTCCTCTTTCAGTGCACAAAAATAGCACATTCATGTGGACAACACAACTCAAGAAATAAATGGCCTATTGATGCGATTTTTATTTTCAAATGTTTAAAATATAACGATCAATTAACAAACAAAATTTTACTTCAATAGGCCATTCATTTCCTGAGTTATGTTTTCCACAAATCGAATGTTGTTTTTGTTCCACGAAAGTTGACTTTCGAACAAATTTTATTTTTCGTGCTGAACACACTACATATTTGTTGTTATTTTATATGTATTGATTGACAATTTCTATCAAAAGTCAGAGAGTTGGGTTATTGTTACTAATCACAAGACAAAATTTGAAGTCAATGCAACAGGTATTTTTTTAGTTATCGTCTGGAAACGAGTGTGTTGTTTTTATTACATTCAAGTTGACTAAAATACAGGGTGGTTCCAAAAAAAAAAGGACACCCACTTTTGACAGCAGTTTTCATCTACTTAATGCATTTATTTTAAATATTTTTTTCACATAGTAGTAAAGTATAGGCCTTTAACCATGCATGGTGAAAAAAGCTTAGTTAAAGTCGCAAAAATAGTGATATTATGATAATTTGAAAACAAGTCACCAAAATCAGCCTTGTCCACGGGTTATTCTATGTAAATTGGACGTTTTCGTAGCTCATAAAAATTAAAAAAACTTCTCACCAAAATATAGTTTGCCCTGTTAACTTTTATTGAAGCTGTCCAATTATTCAGGTCAGTGTTAAGATCATCTACTCAATAAGCTGTCGGCTTAAAAATAAGTTCATTGCTCCACAACACGACCTAACATAACTTTCAAATGCCATGCCCTTTCAAATAAAGCTCGATAGCTGAGCTCAGTCAAGCGAAGGGAATGTATACCTCCGTGGACTAAGAGGTTTCGCACATGAACTGTTCAAATTAGCATTGCTCAACGACAAAATGTTGAAATGCAACAATTTTTTTGTCACATTTGCTTAAAGACCAGTACTTTAATAGCTACAAATCGACAGTTAAAAATAATTTTTAAAAATAGGTGAAAATTACTGTCAAATGTGGGTGGGTGTCCTTTTTTTTTAACCGCCCTGTAGGATCCGAACGTAAGTCGACTTTCAGAGTGCTCACAAAAATAACACATTCGTGTGGACAACATAACTCAAGAAGCAAATCGCCTATTGAATTGAACAATTTCCTAAATGTTTGAAACGTAACTAGCAATTAACAGACAAAATTTCAATACAATAGGCCATTTATTTTTTGAGTTATGCTCTCCACAAACCGAATGTGTTGTTTTTGTTCAAAAGTTGACGCGTTCGGATTTTTTTTTTTGTGCTGAACACACTACATTCTTTTTGCTTATATATTATTTGTGTGTTTGACAATTTCAACCAATATTCAACAGAGTTGTGATATATATCACTAACAATCACAACACGACATTTCAAGTCTATACAGCAAGTATTTTTGACTTAACGATTGGAAATGAGTATGCCGGTTTTTGGAATTTGTTCATGACAGAATATTTTATGTTATCCTTTACGGGTGGTGACCAGAGACCACTATTAGTGTAGAGCGCCCTCTTGTGAAAGAAAATGCTAGATGGCAATAGTATCCGGGCAATTGCCTTATTGCGGGAAAATATTTGGTTGTATCAAATTTGTCGTTTGACAAATTAATAGACTTATTTCGGACATCACGAACAATTGACAGACAAAATCTGAAGTCGTTAAAACAGGTATTTTTTAGGGTTATTGTCTGGAAAACGAGTATGTTGTTTTTATTCCATTAATAAAATTGACTTCAAAGTTCAATATAGATATTCTTTTTCGTGCTAGTATAAACACACTTAATTCTTTTGGTTATATTATTTCCATTGTTTGACAACTCCTACTAATATTGAATGTACTTGTGTTATATATCACTACTTATCACTGCACAAAGTTTAAAGGCAAGAAAACAAGTTTTTCTGGAGTTGTCTGGAAATGAGTATGCTTTTACCATGAAAGAATCGTCCATGTTCACAATAATCCCTTATGACCACTATTAGTGAAGCGCGCCCTCTGTTGAAAGTAAATGCTAGTTGGCAAAACAGCGGGAAAATATTTGGTTTTATTAAAGTTATTGCCCGACATTTGCATTATAATAATATACATGCCGTCCTGAACTTAGGTTTGTCTAAACTTTGGTCGTTATGCTTTAAACATATATGCCTACTCATTTTCAGACTATGACACAAGAAATACATACCTGAAATTAATTATTGCTGAACTTATATTACTAACTCTTTTATAAATAACACCAACAATATATTAAACATGAACTTATTTACAAGTTGAAAACATCAATCAGTTTGATATATATTACTGCAATAAAGTTTAATTTGCATAAAAAGTGAACTTAGTAACAATTAATAATCCATCTTTGATAACCTTTACTAAACTGATGAATTTGTGCAGCTTTTTTTGGCCCGTCAACTCAAAATCAACTCAAAAGAGAAAGCTTTGTTACTATACTGTGGGGAAAGAACATTTATCACTAAAAAGAAAATTGGAATGCTTTTCGTATTTTTTCGTTTCATTATTACATGTAAGTTCAACTTTGTTTGTACTGTGCACAAAGGTTCTTGCTATTTGAAGTGTTGTAGTTGATGCCATCACAAGTCCTCACAAGTCCATCACAAGTCAATCACAAGTCCATCACAAATCCTCACAAGTCCAGCACAAGTTCTTCCCACTCACAAGTCCATTACAAGCTTCTCACAAAATATGTACATCACAAGTCCTCACAAGTATCTAGCAGGTCCTCACAAGTCTTTCACAAGTCCTCACAAGTCTCACAATTAAGTCCATCACAAATCCTCACAAGTCTTTCAAAATTCCTCATAAGTCTATCACAAGTCCTCATGATCACAAGTCTCTTGCAGCTTCTCACAAGTCTATCACAAGTCCATCACAATTAAGTCCTCACAATTAAGTCTATCACCTCACAATTTTATCAAGTCCCTGCAAGGCATCACAAGTCCATCTCAAGTAAATTAGAAGTCATAACAAGTCCTCACAAGTCTATCACAATTTGTCCATCACAATTCTATCACAAGTCCTCACAAGTCTCACAATAAGTCCATCATAAATCCTCAGAAGTCTCTCACGTCCTTACAAGTCTTTCACAAGTACTCGCAAGTCTTTCAAAAGTCCTCACAAGTCTCACTTTTAAGTCCATCACTAGTCCTCATAAGTTTCACTATTAAGTCTTTCACAAGTCCTCACAGGTCTCTCACAAGTCCTCACTAGTCTTTCTCAAGTCCTCACAAGTCTCACTATATTTAGTCTCTCACAAGTCCTCACAAGTCTCTCACAAGTCCTCACAAGTCTTTCACAAGTCCTCATCAAAAGTCTCACTATTATTAAGTCCATCACAAGTCCTCACAAGTCATTACAAGTCCTCACAAGTCTATCACAATTAAGTCCTCATAAGCCAATTACAAGTACTAGTCATCCAGTCCCAGGCAAAATAATGAACAATGCAAAAGCATATTCCTCATCCCCTGTTACTTGTGACTGGACTTGCGATGACTAAGACTCTGATGGATTTGACTACAACACTTCCCCCCCCCCTTTCAAGATATAAGCTCCTCCCTTCCCTAAGGCTCTTGCTCGGCAGCGAGACGTTCTCTCATAGTGCTGCTGCTAGCAGCGATCAGCGACGTCATGACTTGTCGCTCTGCCTGGCTGGCAGGACGGATGGATACGCAACGAAACAGACCACTTTTCTGCTCCATACTCCCCATGCAACGCAACCACTGATCCCTGGTCAGTTTGGGTAAGGACCGATCCTAAGGTGCAGGAAAAAATAACAATTTTTGAAAGAAATTTTTGATGCAAATTCGTTATTATGTTATTTCATTTGTTTATTCTTTCTTATATTTCACCTCATTTCCCAAAACTTTGAATTTCAAAAACATAGTGAACGTAGCTTATTTTATTAACAATTAAAAAATTAACCTAAGAAGCTCAAAAATACAACAAAGTAATTAGCAGTCAAAATTAACAAAATAATTAACACTTGCTGACACAGTATTTATCAAAATGTTATGCAATATACAAATGAATTCTCAGCTGTATCCATAAACTTTACAGTGGCTAAAAAGCTTTGTAGACAACACATTGATTTAGAATCAGAGTAATCGCATCATGCCATGGCATTCATTTAATAGGCATTGAATTGTTTTTGGAAACAATTTTGATTGAGATTTGATTTAAAAATTTTGATATGATCTAAACAATTTTGATTTGACTTAAAAAAAACTTCTGAATTGTGGAATCACTCACCGTTTCATAGAAGATGCACTTGAGAGTTTGATCCTCGTTTTTCAGAGTAAACTTCTTGGCGACGCCCCTTACATCGGAAGAGATGGCAGAATTCATGACCCCTGGAAACAATGACCACAAAAAGTTTATCAGAACCTTCTTGTGCTCATCACATCCCAAATCAGCGAGAGATGTACCTCTTAAAAACTTGAACGCCAGTTTTAAAACAATACTCTTGTCATAATGGCTGAATGATTGAAAGTTCTCAACAATTTACTTAAAGTTTTAACTGTTTATGGCACCGATCTGGGGAAATATAACTGGTAAAAAAATATGGTCTGTGAATTTTCAATTTTTTTTGTGTGAAGGAAAAGACTGACAAAGGTCACATGACCTCTTTTGAAGTTTACCTAAAAAGAGGCACAATATTTTGTTTTAACCTTTACTGATCATAAAAAAAATTTTAAAAGCTCAAAATGATAAGACAGAGAGGAATGTGTGCAGAGTTGTGGGGAATTCATTCCAAGTCCACAGAATTCAGAATTGTTCAGTTTGAGCTCAGTTTTCCTAAATGAACAGTGACTGATTTTCCTCACCTCTGTTGATTCGACCCAGAGTGACTTGAGATTGACTGGTGATGGACCTGTGATTAGCTTGTAATTGTGATTAGCTTGTGATTGACTTGTGATGGACTTGTGATTTGACTAGTGATGGACTTGTGGTGGACTTGTGATGGACTTGTGATTTGCCTTGTAATAGACTTGTGATTTGACTTTTGATTTGACTTGTGACTTGACTTGTGGTTGACTTGTGATTGACTTGTGATTGACTTTTGGTGGACTTGTGATGGACTTGTGATTGACTTGTGATTGACTTTTGGTGGATTTGTGATGGACTTGTGATTGACTTTTGGTGGACTTGAAATGGACTTGTGATGGACTTGTGATTGACTTGTGGTGGACTTGTGGTGGACTTGTGATGGACTTGTGATGGACTTGTAATTGACTTGTGATGGACTTGTGATGGACTTGTGATTGACTTTTGGTGGACTTGTGATTGACTTGTGGTGTACTTGTGATGGACTTGTGATTGACTTTTGGTGGACTTGTGATTGACTTGTGATGGACTTGTGGTGTACTTGTGATGGACTTGTGATTGACTTTTGGTGGACTTGTGATGGACTTGTGATTGACTTGTGATGGACTTGTGATGGACTTGTGGTGTACTTGTGATGGACTTGTGATTGACTTTTGGTGGACTTGTGATTGACTTGTGATGGACATGTGGTGTACTTGTGATGGACTTGTGGTGTACTTGTGATGGACTTGTGATTGATTTGTGATGGACTTGTGATGGACTTGTGGTGGACTTGTGATGGACTTGTGATGGACTTGTGATGGACTTGTGATTGATTTGTGATGGACTTGTGATGGAGTGGTGATGGACTTGTGATTTGACTTGTAATGGACTTGTGATTTGACTTATTTGACTTTTGATTTGACTTGTGATTTGACTTGTAATGGACTTGTGATTTGACTTTTGATTTGACTTGTGACTTGACTTGTGATGGACTCGACTGTGTAACTGTGCAGATCAGGAATTGTCTGAACAAATATTACAACTGAAAGAAAGACAGACTTGATAAACTGACCAAACACTTCACAGATCATGCTGCCGATCTTGTCCATGTGTTGGCTCCAGCTCCCCACGTCGGCAATGGACGCAGTCAGGACTTTGAGAGAGCGGTCATCCACAACAAATCCAGACTGTTGCTTCTCTGCATTGCCTGACAACTGCATCAGACAAGAACAAAATGGCAGTCCACTCTATGCATTCTTTGAATTGTTGAGGATGAAGACCAGTAAATTTCCATTGGCACTAATGATAATCCCCGTCAAAATGTAAGCAACAAACTTTTGGATGCGAAGAGTGTCTGAGTTTCCGAAGAAACAAAATGAGGCAAGCCTGGTAAAGCTGGTCCCAGAGTGTTCAAAATTAAATCTGAATGGCTGAAAAATTCTAGATTACGGTAAAGTACATGATGGAAATGAAGAATCAACTTTCGCCGTTTGCACAAAGACTTGACTTATTGCTTATGCCAGTATCATTCAAGAACATGAAACAAGTTGTGCCGGACCTAATGCAGGTGTGGAGTACGTAGACGGTGTAGAGTCAAACAAATTAGGTTTTGCCCTTCACTGACGTATAAACACTGTATACTCAGTGTGTATTACCTCCCAAGTGAAAGAAAATCACTTGGGTGGGACTCGAACCCGCAACCTCCTGCTTTCTAGTGCAGATGTCTTATCACCTGACCACCGAGCTAAGGGGATCGGTGGCTTGTTCGAATCTGATGTACATAGCAGCTGGTACCGCATTAACTCAGTCAGTCAGTCAGCTAAGCACTTAGAGGATACTAGGCTAGCTCTCCGCGACCAGAAAAACGAGAAAACAGCATGATCACTCACTTGCTTGTTTGCAGAGCTAGGTCTTGGGGTTTGGGGCGGGAACGCATTCAGTTGACGATGAGGACCGCTGTTCTGTTGCCAGAAAGTCCCAGTGGGTGGGTTGGGCTGAGGAGGAGGGAACCTGGGCTGGGGGGCCTGGGCTGGGCCTCCCCACACCTGTGGGGCTCTGACTGGGGTAGGGGGCCTGTCATTGAGAAAAATATGAAGAAGCTTGACTAAGTTGATGATAGGTGTCGATCAATATCATACAATGGTCCAATGGTTATATGAGATGCGATCTAGCAAAATGAGTCATTTTTTTTTTTTTTTACAGATTTGAAAAGGGCACAAACTCAGCATTACTGCTTTTAAAACCGCATGCTGGTACCATCTTTAGTTCGAAATTTATGGAAGTTGGAACTCCAAGAGATGTGATGAAGTGATGTGATGAAGTGGCCCTATTTTGGCCTGAATCTCCAAATGGAGGTTCGCGACAAACGACTCGTTTAGCTTGATCGCATCACATATGGTGATCAACCCATGTGCTATTGTATGTGGGTATGTGTGTCCCCGGGCAAGCCACTTTACTACAATTGCCTCTCTCCACCCAGGAGTATAAACGGGTAACTGTGAAGGTATACATCAGACTGCGCTGATCTCAAGCTGCTGCCAGAAATTGTCTCATGGCCTGATGAACAGGGATAATAATTGTGAAGCGCTTTGAGACAATGGTACGATCAAAGCGCTATGCAAGCACCACGTTATTAATTTGGGAAGTATAAGATATTATATTTCTTCAGGTTGGAACCATTTCGTTTGTCCCATCATTTCTATAAACAGCGCCCTCGTGCGTACCTGCTCGGAGGGGGTGGGTTGCTCACGCCAGCCCAGCGCTGCCAGCTGTCGTTCATGCTCCCAGCCCCCGCTGCGGGAGAGGCTCCGCCCCCGAAGCCATAACCTGCAGACGCTGCGGATGAGCTCCAGGGATTAGGAGGCGTTGAGGCTGCGAAATTCCCTTGTAAGGAAGGAAAAGTTAAAACAATTTATAAACAACAAATTTACTTAGGAGAGGTTCAGAACAAAAGACTATATGGATTGATGTCAGCCCTTAAAAATAGGAACACTCGTAAACAGCAATCCAAACAAAGGGTTTTCTTTGAAAAACCTACAAAATTCCTCTAAAGACTTCAATCCCGAAAGCCCCTGGAACATTTGGTGAAATAATTTTGCAATGATCATTTTTTGGCGATTCGCCCTGTTGCTGCAAAATCAAGAAGTTAGGGGTGGGGGCCTTACCCAAGGGCGGATCCAGAACACAATTTGGGGGGGGGGCCAAAAAACTTTTTGGTCCCCCCAAAAAGTGGGTCCAAAAAATTAAGGCGTGGGGTTCAGGGTCCGCTCAAGGGCTGCGAAATTGTTTTGGATCCCCCCCTCCCCCCTCCCCAACTTTTTGGTTTTGGAGCGACAGGCTGCATGATGGGGAAAAAAACCCTGACTATCTTGGCATGCCCCCCCCCCCAACCCCACCCCACCCCCCAACTACTGTAACTGATCTAGATCCGCAACTGAATTGAACCCAAGTTAAATGCTCACTGGGTACATGATTCTACCGGTACATTACCTCTGCTGCTGTTGTTAGGCATTCCATTCCAGGGGCGTCCGCCATTGTTGTAGTTATCGTTCATGGGTTGACGCACTCCAAGGTTCTGGCTGTTGGGGCCCATGCGAGGCTGCTTGTTTGCGGGACGATGGTTTGGACCAGAAGATGAAGGGAAATTTCCTGACCAAAAAATAGTAAAAATAAAGGTTTTTTTATGTAAATAACTAAATGTTTCTCTTTTAAAAACAGTGGAGAATAGGACCAAGACTTCTGTTGTGAGGTCAGCTTTTGGGCACATTGTTTTTTACAAAACGACATAAAACATACGTGCTTTGATGCTTCCTATTAAACTACCAACATTAAAAACTAATTAAACCTAAAAGTTTTGGTACTAACAAAATCTTACTTAATTCATTTAATTTCTAAATCAAACTACATTGCACATTTCATGATTACAATTAAACTTGTGATTTCATAATTTGGAACAACATTTTCTCCAGTTGAGTAGAATTCTTAAAAGATCTAAAATACAATTGAATACAATTTGTAGTTTGTAAAATTGACGAGTTATCAATAAAGTAGCACAGAAATTGTCTGGGTTTCAGAATCATTGGTCATTGTATAAATTAAGGGTCCGAAGTGCGACAATATTCCGGTCCCGTTACTGCTGAACTTTGTAATTTGCCATTCAAGTCTCATTAAGAATGACTTCAAATGATGTTTTATTTGTTGTGTAGGTAGTTTGCTATTCATAATCACTCTTGGAGGACGACTGCATTAAGGAGTGCATCAGAATTATAAAATCACAGATGTCAGCTGTAACAGGGACAAGAAAAACAATGAACCCCAAAAGAATGACCCTTATACAACTGTACTTGAACATTTTTTGGTCATATATTATTTTTTTTAAATCTTACCCCTGAAGTTTGCATTGACATTGTTGTGGTTCTCATTATTGGGATGTGCAAACAAGGCTTGTCGAGGCCGCTTGTTTTTGTTGAATGACGGCATTATTTTTTCTATTGGTAAAAAAAAAGAGAAGAGAAATTAAATAATCAATTATTTGCTTATTTAAGTTGCATCTAATCAAAGATCATATTTTCTAAATAATCTTAAAAAAAGAAAAAAATTGATGAAAATAACAAAGTGATAACATACAATGTTTTTGACTGGTCAAAAGTTTGAGCTACCTCACAACCGCCAATAGAGGGAGCCCTTTTGGTAAGCAATAAACTTTGCCAAGGTTTTAATTTGTTTGTTTGAAACTCATTGGAATTTCAACTTTCATGAGCTGCCTGTAGCAATTAAAATAATGAAAGTTGTTGCTAAGCTTGATTCTTTCCATTTTTTTTCCATGACAATTTCATGATTTAATCAAAGAATAGCGATTGTCATGGAGCCAACAATAAGTCAATATCTCACTTTGCTGCTGCATCGCCGCAGTTGTTCAGCCAGTTCGTTCCACCTGAAACTTAAAAGCAAACAGAAACATCTTTTGAGTAAACCAAAACAAAAATATTCTTTTCAAAGATTATAGTCTTTTTTCCTTGGTAAAACAAGGTTAACACTTCGACAAATTTGGGTCTTTCTGCTGCCGCATTCTCCCACCGGCCTAACTTGGGTTGTTAGTTAATAGTGTTACGTTATGCGCGATGTCGTCTGCTAATAATGCAATGAATTTTTTGACAAGTTTTCGGCGGCGGTAAAAACACAAATTGTAGCATTTAGCAAAGAATTGAATACTTCTTCATAAATTTATCTTAACTGTCAACGGGAAATTAAACCTACCAGAAAAGCAACAGCTGTGACAGTGTTTCCAAGCCGTAAAGTAAGGGCCAATTCGCAAATCTTACAACTTGCGCGCTCGTAAAATGTGTGAAATAAACTTTAATGTGATAGTTCTCCGTCAACAGAGGGCGCTATACACACAGACCATAAAAATCATAATTCGGTTAATCGACGTGTGATGTGTGACGATCTGCCTGCGAAACCTCACAAGATTTGCCTCTTTAGATACCGTATTTTCATTCGTTTTAGCAGCAAGAATCCAATTGAACTGAAGTCTTCAACAACTGGTAAGTGTGGAGATGTAACTTACTAAAACTTTGAAATGTTTTTTGCGTTGTAAAGATGTGATTTTATTTGACGTTTCATCTTGTCTCGGGGGTCCGAGTGAAGTTGGGCAGATCATGTTTTTATTCCTCCATGGGCCTATCGATCGACCGAGTAGAGACCATGCAGACTCCCGAGTTGATGCCGTAGCCTTGCTTGCTGCACATGATTTGTCACCGTTGATGAGTTCATCTTAGGGATAGGCTATGACTATGTATGTGTACCTTTTTGGGTAAAACTGTATTTTAGAACTCCTCTACTAGGGCTAGGCCTATATTTTTTAGTTTCTTAAACAGTTGTTAATCTTAGTGCCCCAAAATCATGAAAATGTTCTGCGACCAAAATGTCATGAATGTTCTGCGACCCAAATGTTCTGCGACCCAAATGTCCTGCGACCCAAATGTCCTGCGACCCAAATGTCCTGCGACCCAAATGTCCTGCGACCCAAATGTCCTGCGACCCAAATGTCCTGCGACCCAAATGTCCTGCGACCCAAATGTCCTGCGACCCAAATGTCCTGCGACCCAAATGTCCTGCGACCCAAATGTCCTGCGACCCAAATGTCCTGCGACCCAAATGTCCTGCGACCCAAATGTCCTGCGACCCAAATGTCCTGCGACCCAAATGTCCTGCGACCCAAATGTCCTGCGACCCAAATGTCCTGCGACCCAAATGTCCTGCGACCCAAATGTCCTGCGACCCAAATGTCCTGCGACCAATGCAGTCTTTCCCATTATGTAGTATCCAAGATTTTCAACAGTTATTTTTTTCACTGGGCCTTTTTAATTTAGTATTTATTGGACAAAAACATTGATTTATCCTCGATCCTCCATAATCTGCGCAGATAAGGCTTTGTAAAGCGCATGTTGTTAAACGCAAATTGAAGGTGAGTGCGTAGAATTATGATCGCGTAGACCCATAAATGTGGCGTCAATAAACAACGCCACGCTCCAGCCTCGCATAAATTACGGAAAGATTTCTGACCCCTAAAAAGTATATTTGTAATTTTGACATGGTGAAAAAAATGAAAATGCTGGTAAATTGTTCTGAGGAAAGCGCATCCTTTTTTGCAAATGGTTTGGTCAAAACGAACTACGTCATTGAACACGGTAGTCGGCAAGGCAGGGATATCCCGGCCGTGCTGCGCGGCCAAAGCAAGAGCACGCTTTTCATTGAGAGAATTGCAGGTGCGTGCGATTTTTTTTCAAAGTGTATTGGCCCCGATATCCTATTGTATGCCTGGCTAGAACATCGTAAATGCGGTGACTTTTCAACACGGTTAACTCATTCATCAGTACGCACTAATTTTGCCCTTTCGTTTCAAGCTTTAGCATTCCTAGCGCTATCAACAAATACTTGCCGAACTCTTCCGAACCAACTTTTGGGTTCGGTTCAGTTTAAGTTCGGTTCAGAAGGCCAAGTTCGGCTTTTTTTAGTTTGGTTCGGCGGCTCGACTGCAGCACTAATTCCAAGACCCTTACGTCATGTACACACGTGCACAAAAATGTTCTGAAAAGTTAAAAACTACATCATGTTCATGTGTCGCACTTTCATGTAGTTTGGTCGGAAAAAATGTTGCAACCCGACGCCACTTTTTTCTTCATATTTCATGTCAATGAAGGTCAGTCGTTGCAAAAAATGTCGATAAGACATGAATCTGGGACTGAGAAACATTTCTAATGTTGTTAGGAAATACCCTGAAAATTTTCTTGACTCTCCATAGACTTTGTACACAACCGCTTAAGTGGCATCAGGTTGCAGCATTTTTTCCGTTTGGTCTGCAAAGTTACGGTCTTGTAAAAAATATGACACAAGTACATGTACATTTATGACTTAAGTGTATATGCAGTATTTACAAAGTACATGTACATACACATGTACACAAGTTAAAATACATTTATCTATTCATTTTCAGTGATGCATACTAATTCCACAAACTACATTTTAGTTTGTCCGCAGAAAGTTGCTCATTGAAAATCAGCCACTGTGACATGACTCAAGCACACACAAATAGTTGTTGCGATGGAGCCTTGTTCACAATACCCCCGTAGATAAAAAGATTTCCAGGGTTTGGCTTTTATACGTGTACCTTGTGTTCTCAGAGATCGCTCCAGTTCTTGGCATATCATCGCTTTGAAACCTGCTTTCCCATGAACAGATTCTGGGAAAATCCAAAGTCTTTTAGATTTTACAAAGATAGTTTTTACAATATGCACATGTACTGTATGTACCAGTATGGTTATTGGGAAATTGAGTAGTTCAGGACCCTGTTCTCAGAGAAGGAAAATAAACACTCACTTTCACAGGGGCGGATCCAGGAATTTTCGCGGGGGCGGGGGGGGGGGGGGGGGGGGGGGGGGGGGTTCATCAGCAAAATAATCTGAAAATGTACCGGTACACAGGTTTTTTTCTCCGGTGAGTACAGACCATGTGTAAGTACACATACCGATATCATGTACCACCGATCCATTCAACTTAATGTACAATGTGTGTGAGAACATTATTGTAACGATACCAAGTTTTAAGGTTGTACATAATCCAAACAATAACAGTACATGTAGGCCTAACCTTGAAAACGACATCCCATTCCCTGTGAATACATGCACATACATGTACATAAACTGAAAGTGTATGGTAAAACTAACAGATGACGATGTTTCTCGTCCGGGTTTTTTTAAAAAAAGGAGGAAGCGGGGCTTTTTATTTTCTGTTTTCTATTTTTTTTCAAGATGGCCGCCATTTTAAAATTTCCTGCAACCGTTGGTGTTCCACTGTTCAAAGACACTTTTAAAATGAAATACAAGTTGGACAAGAGAACTGAACATATTTACAGTGTCATTTAGAGTTGTATTGGTATTGGTATTTATTTTCCGATGAATTTGTGGACTTTTTCAGTGTTTATTTACTGCATTTTTCAAAAATAAAAAATAAATGAAAAATTCAGGCGGCCTCCAAAAAGGAAGCGGGCGGGGACGACAAACATGTTTTTTTTTTTACTTCGCCTAAAACTATTAATAATATCAAACATTAGTATTATTACAAAGTGCATTTGATTCTCAAATATTGGACTTGTTGGAAAAATATGAAAATGACTGATCAATACTGCACAGCTTTATAAGTTACACATGCACATATCTGAGAAACGGCATTCAGATTTTCTGGCAGCTAAACGTGTGCATTATTATTAGGGAAGTAATTCAAAAAATGAAATATGATAAAAGGAAGTAATCTGTGAGGAAATTTGTATCAAATATTCGCAGGAAATTCGCTATCACCACTCTGTCTTGTTTAGGCCAAAAAAAAATAATAATCGGTCTCTGGTCAGACCGAAGTTCCGGAATTGATGCGGCGATGCTTTTTTTTTTTTTTTTCAAGCTTGAATTGTACAGACCAGGTGGGTACTATTTTGCTTTTGTGTGCCCTCATTATACATTGGTGTTCTCCATAATTTGCCTTGGTGCCCTTTATCATTTGCCTTGGTGCAATTTCCCCATTCCTTGGTGCTCCTTGGTACAAAAATTTGAGGAGGTGCGGCAATAGAGGGTGCTGTTGTAGCTTCCGTTTTAATTTGAACACTCGTAACTTCAACAGGTTAGGTTTTGAACATTCTTCTTTGGATTTGAGTGGTGTTATAACTGGAAACGAACAAAATGCACAAAGAGCAAAGGATCCTTTTTATGAACAATAGACATCTTATTGTTTTAGTCTGTAAACCACACTCGTAACTTCAACAGGTTAGGTTTTGAACATTCTTCTTTGGGTTTTGAGTGGTGTTATAACTGGAAACTCACAAAATACATGAAGAGCAAAATATCCTTTTTATGAACAAAACATCTTGTTGTTTTTGTCTGTAAACCACCCTCTACGTTTCTGTCATCATATCAGGTGTCTTTATTCTCAGTCAAGACCCAAATTCAATCTCAACCACAGTTTTTCTTTTTTCTTTTTTTGCGAGGCATGTTTGGAATGCTGACCCATTGCAAGTCTGTAAACCACACTCCAGTCCAGGAAGCAATCAGTGGCCTGGGGCTATTGTTCTTTAAAAACCAGGGGCTTTGAAAAAGAAGAAGAAATCTCCCAGAATGATTAATGAAAAAGCTGCACAGACCAGATTTCTACACTGAGGATTGTATTATGAAACATACATTATTCTCTATTCTCCAAGGCAATTCGTGTATTCCAGTCAAAGGGAATATACATCATTTGCTTTTGCTGTAATTTTCAGAAATGGATGGAATTGGGGGTTGGAAATATATAGCAAATATAGTTACACTGACTTTTATGAGGTTTTGGGTTCGAAAATGCTATAAAAACCAAGAAAAACAATCATTTTCCTGTAGTCTGGTTCCCTGACTCCATTTAAGAAGAAACAGAGCAGTTTACATACATTGGGGAATTGTAAGGTCAGGGAACCAGTCTAGCTGGCTTGTACCCGTTCATAGGTGTGTAATCGATTGCAAACAAGTGCGATGGTCAACTGGGGCCAGTATTTGAAAAAAGCCAGTTTTGTTCCAACGCTGATCGGCCGATCAGCGTTGGAAATTGATACAAAAATACCACTTTTCTTGAAAATGACAGTATACCAGGTGCCATGATTTTACAGGATGCTTTACACTGTCATTCACTAACAGTCCAGCAAGGTATTTCAAAATGATTTGGAAGTTTTATTTTTTGATGTTTGCAAATGTTGTATTTTCCCTTTAACGTACGCGTCATTATGTACAGGTATGTAAATCATGCATTCATTTGTGACATTTGACATTTTCTTGCAAGCTGCAACAAACATGCTAAACCTTAGGGGAAATGTAATAAATACACAGTACATGCATAAATTTAAAAAAAAAAAATTTATGTCATTTTTTTTTCATACATGTATGTCATACTGGTACATTCGACATTCTCTATGGCACAGTGCTACAGTTACCATAGTGGCAAATTTCCAATGTACCAGCACACGGTAAAT